CAGTGTGAGAGATTCAGTGACATCTAGTGGTGAAGATGCAGAATGCAACTGATTGAATAATATATATTTATATATATTATTAAAAATGTAATAAATACATAATAATGATCTTCACAAAAGTTACAGTCCTTCTAACAACTCATTGTTTGGTTGCTCTTTCCTGTGTGTGTGTGTGTGTGTGTGTGTGTGTGTGTGTGTGTGTGTGTGTGTGTGTGTACACAGTCAGAACCAGCCAGTTTACCTGCTGAAGACATCAGCACCAACTCAAATGGGCCCAAACAAGATTTACTATTTGATGACGACCCGGAGGACCTGTTCGCAGGTAAACACACACACACACACACACACACACACACACACGCACGCACACACACACACACACACACTAACACTCTCTCTCTCTGTCCTAGAGGCCACAGAGGAGGTGTCATTGGACAGTCCAGAGAGAGACGTCCTGCTGTCGGACGGCCCGTCCCCCGCCATCACCCCCATCACCCCTCCCACCTCCGTCATCACCCCTTGCATCGGCCACGCCCACGACGACATGTTCACACACTCCTCCTTCGACGAGGTGACTGCGCACACACACACACACACACACACACACACACACGTCTCGTAGATTTGTTTTGTTTAAAGTTCTTTCAGGTTCAGAGACGTTTCTCTGACGTTAACACCTCTGTCGTTTCCATGACGATAACCCCTTTATACAGCGATTCTAAATGCTGTTCTGCAATATGAGACGTAATAAGACTTAACCAGAGGGATTATATTCTTCATTTACAGAGTGAGGGAGGAAACGTGGATTTTGTCTCTGAAGTCTTGAATAAATAAAGTTTGTGTCGTCGTCGTGGCAGCAGGAATAAACACATTTGTCTGTTTTCTGTAGATCGAAGAGGAGGAGGGCGGAGATTCGTTCGACATGCACATATCGGTGTCTGACCCTGAGAAAGTCGGTGAGTAGTCCTGGAAAGTCCTGGAATATCCTGGAATATCCTTGAATAGTGAGAGCGGTGCTGAAGGGCGGAGGAAGGGCGGAGATGTTTGTGTTTCTGTTGCATTAGAGGATGTTTCAGTGCTTGTGTCTCCACCCACTAAGACTACATTTCCCATCAGCCCTCTTTGCTCCGTGTCCCTGCTCCAGATGTTGGAGGTTTTACACTCTCTCTCTCTCTGTCACTCTGATCTGCTCCCACATGATTGTGCTAATGCTTCACTGCTGTAACAACAGTGGGGGTCTGCGGCGCTGACGCCCCCCCTGCAGGCCGCAGGCCGTCAGTACAGGACACACGACAGAGCTGGACTCGGACCGCCGTGTGTCCCGAGCTCAAACTCACTGTTAATGACAGAGACACAGAGACACTGTAAATAAAAGAGTTTCTTCAACTGAACATGGAACCAGTTTATCCAGTCTGATGTGTGAGCTCAGACTGGACACACAGTTTACTCAAGTGTGTGTGTGTGTGTGTGTGTGTGTGTGACAGGACACACGACAGAGCTGGACTCGGACCGCCGTGTGTCCCGAGCTCAAACTCACTGTTAATGACAGAGACACAGAGACACTGTAAATAAAAGAGTTTCTTCAACTGAACATGGAACCAGTTTATCCAGTCTGATGTGTGAGCTCAGACTGGACACACAGTTTACTCAAGTGTGTGTGTGTGTGTGTGTGTGTGTGTGTGTGTGTGTGTGTGTGTGTGTGTGTGTGTGTGTGTGTGTGTGACACACGCACCCACGCACACACACACACACACACACACACGGGCACGCGCACAACACACACACGACACCACACACACACAATCACACACACACACCATTAGAACACACACACACACACATTGAGTAAACGTGTCCAGTCTGAGCTCCACACGATCAGGACTGTGATAAACTGTTCAGTTAGTTGAAGACAACTTATTTTAGTTACAGTGTCTCTGTGTCTGTCATTACAAAGTGAGTCTTGAGCTCGGACAACACGGCGGTCCGATCCAGCTCCTGTCGTTGTGCTCATTGTACCTGGACGGCCGTTGTCGGCCTGGCAGGTGGGGGCGTCAGCGCCCGCAGACCCCCACTGTTGTTACAGCAGTAAAGCATTAGCATAATCATCATGTGGGAGCAGATACAAGTATGGACAGAGAGAGAGAAGAGTGTAAAACTCCAACATCTGGATACAGGCAGACACCGGAGAGCAAAAGAGGCTGATGGAAAAGTAGTCTTAGTGGGTGGTAGACACAAACACTGAAACATCCTCTAACTGCAACAGATAACACAAACATTCTCCCGGCCCTTCCACTCCGCCACGTTCCAGCACCCTTGCCACTATTCAAGGATATTCCAGGATATTCCAGGACCTTTCCAGAGCGCT